AAATGTACAACATAAAATACACAATATAGGAGTGACACAACTGATGATAGGCAACATCTACAAAGCATACAACCTTGAGAAGACATATTACCTCAAGGTCTCTTCTGTGATTTTTCTTATAAGACCAAAGGTCCCTAACCAACACTTTCTGAACTACCAGGCACAACCAACTGATTAGAGCTAGCATTAGCAAATCCACAGATGGCACCTTTAAGATAAGTTTCAATGATTACATACTAAAAGTCTTAGTGGAAACAGGCTGCAAAAATTAGCGAGATGATTAGGGATTAGTACATAAATAAATACTTTCAGTCAAAATAATTGCCCCAACATCTCAAACCACTGCCTCAGGTATCTTGTGATAACTACGCTCTGGTTTTTTCCTCAATCCAGCACATCACAACTCCCAGAAATTAGTTTAAATGTTGCAACAGCAAAAAGTGATTGAGAGTGGTGTAGGAAAGAGTACCACCTGAATCTGGTGCTTAGGGAAGTGGCAACAATTTTTGCATAAGGCAATGGAAGCTAGCAACATCTTCCCCTTCCTGTGCTTTTCTGCTTTTCCTGTGCTCTATATGGCTACCCAGAACTGACAAGGTCTGTTCATTTAAGATGGAGATTCCTATTCATAGGGTGCTCTGCTTCAAACATTGCTAAATATACAGGCCCAGTACTCGCTACTCCAATATCCCATGTAAAACTGTCTCTAGAAACAGGATCGTGTACAAACGCTTGGGAACTCAAGCCAGGAAAATAAAAAGTCAAGCCAAACAGATTAAAACATCTCTAAGAGAAACAAAACAGAAGCCCCAAATACAACTGCAGTGTAAGAGGACTCAGGCAGGCACACACCTCACAATTTCACTACAATCCTTCCTGTACTCTTACACCTGGGCAAAGCAAATAAAGTCACATGAGTTAAGAGAAGAATCCCTTGGCCTTGGAGTCCAAATGCACAGCTCTCCGGCTCTCCTAGTCTGGCCAATCACCCAGCTTCCTCTCCGACATTTGGGAATCAGGTTCTTGCATGTGAAGGCCCAGAAACTAATGGCAGCACAAACTCCTGAACCTCAAGCAAATTATCAACCCCAGACTGGAGAAAAGCATGGAGAGGGAAGTAGGTGCTTTGGCTCAAGTATAAAGCTCTCCCTCTGAGCTGAGGAGCTCAGCAATGCTGCTTGCAGGCCCAGAGTTAACACCCCACCAAACTAATACGAACAGAAAAAGAAACAGAAACCCATGGTGGGGAGACTCCCCCAGCAATTACACAGTTCCTACCTGACATAAGTTCCAAAGCCTGAGATTCGTTCAAGTTACAGCTCCCAAGCTCCACTGCACAGAGCTGGGCGCCGGCCTCCTGGCTCCCTCAGGCCAAACTGTACTTCAGGGCACTTCCAGCAGCAAGGCAAAGAAAAGAATCCGGAAGAGGCAGACTTAAAACGCCCGTGGTGGGCCGGGAGACACAAGCGCAAAAGCATCTTCTGCCCCACCTCCACCCTCCAAAAAACAAAAACAACCCAGGTCTTTCAAAGAAAATATCCTCCATGGAGACTACAATTCCCACAATGCTCGGTGCCACCCTGCTACATACCTGGGAACAAGTGGCTTGGGTGCATTGGGACTTTTCTCTCCCTGCTGTGGCAGTTAAGCTCAGTTTCTTCTTGAAAACCCCTGTTTCCTCTTGAAATACATAAGACCACCCAGAAAAGGGATATATATGGGGAGAATTGGATACATTGGCTTTTTGATTCTTACTTCTAAAAATGAAATTGAGGTTATGAGACTGCGTTGCTTATACCTTTCTGTTTATTCAATGCCTGCCTTCTGCTGAATGTAAATTATATCTCTGTTTTGTCTTAAAATTTTTAATACATCCCCTCTTACTTTACAAAGGTACTCGCAGCCACTAAACTTATACCTGGGTCATTTGCCATTGCTGTAATGTATACACTGGCATAAAATAGTGAGATTGTTAGGTAAATATGCACCATAATACCTCTGGTGATTTGGATTTCACAAATCTAACAATTAGTTTTCCAGAAACTCCCCAATTCTATCTATTTAATAAAATAAATTTTTGTTTTTTTCTGAATTTTGCATTTCATTTAAGGATTTTATGTTTTGTTTTGTTGTTGGTCCTATGGCTTGAACTCAGAGCTTGGGCACTCTCTGTGAGCATTTGCTGTACTCTATTTGCATTTCCTTTAAAAATTTCTTCAGGTATCAAGTGAAAAGTTTCCTCACAGGGATTCTTATGAACATGGCACATCACCTCCATTTCCCTTCAAAGATATAGTGGTTTGGGGTGTCAGGGATGAATGCAGGAGGGATAGAAGAGTGAAGTTTAGGCTAGACTATGTTGATGTGAAGCTTAATCACTTGCAAACCAGTCTGCTTTTGTCTTTTCATTTTGCATGTGAAAATCTCTTTAGAATTCTTACCTCTTCTCTGATCCTCACAGTTCCTCTCAGTAGCTTTAGACTACATATCTAAGGGCCCTCAGACTTGTCTTGTTAGACCTTATCCATTAAACTGTGGAATAAATCTTTTGTCTCCTGCCACAGTCCCATCAGAGCACTTGCAAGGCTCTGAGAGCCAATGGGATGATAATTAAGGAGACAGAGAGATGGCTGATGGCACAATTCTGCTATATTTTTCAAATGCTTGGGTAATATTGGTCTAGACCCCGTCGGCCCAAAAGTGCAAACAGCACACACCTTTCCTCATTTTATTTCAATACATGCTTTCCACCCAATCCTCCTGTCAGTTAAATCCCAGGCCAAAAAGCTAGAACACACACTTCCTCAAACCAAGAAAGGACAAGGACTTGTAGTCCTGAGGGTGGGAGCCGATGGCCCTGAGGCCTTTGCTCACATTTTGTCTGCTCCTGGCAGGCACCCCAGGGTCTACAACAGTCTCCCTCTCTCTTATCAGAGAACCTACACTTGTCTCTGAGATGTTTATTGTGATTTTTTGTAATCCCTTCCATAAAAAATAATTGGGAAAGATTGGATTGGAAACTTTCACGTTTGATTTTAGTTCTTCAATGTATGGGTTCTCCATGTCTCTTTTGTGGACCAGAACTATTCTCCATGAAAATGGGAATCAAAGAGCGTATTTGAATGTATAGACTTCAACTTAAAAGCACCTCTAACAATACAAAGAAAAAGTAATTTCATTCTTTAAAACTAAATTCCAGGGAAGTGGCACTGTGGCTCAAGTGGTAGATCACTCTCCTTGAGCTGAAGAGCTGAGGGAAAAGTGCTCAGGCCCAGAGTTCAAGCCCCACAACAACAACAAAAAAATCCTCCCTAAAACTAAATTCCTGAGACACAAAGAGTTAAGGATCAGGTAAAAGCTGGGGTGCTACCAAGAGTACCTGTGAAATGTAGTTTTCTTTTCTTTTTCTTTTTTTTGGGGGGAGGGGGTCCAGTCTTTGGGCCTCAACTTGACCTTGGTGCTGTCCCTCAGCTCTTCAGCTCAAGGCTGGCGCTTTACCACTTGAACCATAGCACCACTTCCGGCTTTTTTCTTTTTGTTTATGTGGAGCTGAGGAATCAAACCCAGGGCCCCATGCATGCAAGGAAAGTGCAATACCACTGAGTCACCTTCCCAGCCCTTTTTTTTTTTTTTTTTTGTTAGTCATTGGGCCTGAATTCTGGGACTAGGTACTGGTCCTTGGCTCTTCAGCTCAAGGCTAGTGCTCTACCACTTGAGCCACAGTGCCACTTCTGGCTTATTCTGCTTATGTAGTGCTGAGGAATCGAACCCAGGGCCTCATGCATGCAAGGCAAGCACTCTACCACTGAACCATCTTCCCATCCCTGAAATATAGTTTTCATGGTTCAAGCCTACATTTGTGATGAATTTCTTTATTCCGTTATCCTTTTGTTTTGTTTGTTTTGGTTTTTGGTCATGCCACTTGAACTGTGAGCCTAGGAACCAACCCTTAGTCCTTCAGCTCAAGCCAAGTGCTCTACATTGTGAGCTAAAGCACCAATTCTGATTTTCTGGGTTTTATTGGAGATAAGTGTCTCACAGACATTGCTGCCCAGGCTGACTTTGGACTGCAATCCTCAGGTTTCAGCCTTTTGAATAGCTAGGATTAAAGACATGAGGTACCAGCACCCAGCTTGCATTTCTTCTCTTTTATGTCCCAGCCTTGGGGCTTGAACTCAGTGTCTGGACACCGTCCCTAAAGTTTTGCTCCAAACTAGCACCCTATTACTGGAGCCACAATTCCACATTCGGCTTTTTCTATGCATGTGGTACTGAGGACTTGAACTAGGGCTTCATGCAGGTTAGGTAAGCACTCTACCACTGTTGCTGGACAGCCACAACACCAACAGTGCTCTGGAAGGGCAATGGGATGATAATGGAACAGACTGAGAGAAGGTCAATGATGAATCTCTCTTTATTCCAGCAATAACCTTAGCTATAGACACTTTCTAGATCTGTCCAGTGCTTGTATCACATTGTTCTAGTACTCACTGAGTCGACAAGTGCAGACCATATGCATCTTTCCTCATTCTAGTTCAACCTTTGTCCAACAAACACCTAGAGGTAAGCCCCCAGGCCCAGAAGCTACAAGGAACACTCCCTCCTACAAAAAGGGCAAGTACTTATAGCCCTGAAGGTTGGAGTCCATGGTTGTGGAGCTTTTGCTCACACCTTGCCAGCTCCTGGCACCTCAGGGTCTGCACCACTTCCCCCTTTTTCATTTTGTAAATTGAGCAAGTGTCTATCAGCCTGAACCTGGAAAATCAGCAGATCATCCATCTCAGGAAGAATGGAAGAAAAAAGAAATACCAAAACATAAAAAAAGGAAAATGCCTGAGAAATAGCAAAAAGAGTGCTAATACCCCAGGTGAATCCCTGAAGGTAATTGAGAAGTGATACAGCTAAGTCTGCATGGTGGAGTGACCAATACCAGATATCTGACCCTGAAGCTACATAATGCCTAAGCTTAAATGATCACAGGGCGACATTCCTCAAATATGTCACTGGATACTGGTACAAGTCATATTTCCATCATATTCAAGAGGGATAACACAGATGTACTGACAATTAGCATGACACATCATTTTTAACTGTGTCTTTAGCAGGTCTATGTGATTATCAACATATATCATTGCTGTTTCCAAATCATAAAACATATCACAATCATTTTATCTACTCCCACCTGAATATCAAGGGTACCAGAAACATTTCAAACTAAAGTATTAGCATGTTGTGTTGTAAATATGGTTTACAAGGATCACAGGAGAAGCAGTAGCCCTAGCAAGAAGAGTTGGGGTAGCAATAATGAGGGCAACCAATATTCCCCAAATTCTGCAGCAATGGCTGAGTCCTCTGAACCTCAATAGCACACAGAGACCCAAACTTATTATACCATGGTTCTATCAACTGATCATGTAATGTAAATTATGGGGATTGCATAGTAAACTAGGAGTACTCATGCAGTTAGTGAGAACACAATTGTTCCTGCAAGAGGCATAAAATACCACCCCATCCTGGAAAACCATACCCAGCCCAACTACTAGCATATATGGATATATAACACAAGCTTGCACAGTAAATGATACAAAACCATGTAACAGGACAGGTCTCTGAAACAGAGGTATGGGATGGTGAGAGGCATTAGTTCAAATAGGCCTCATGGCAGCAGCCAGGCTCAAGATGTCAGGGTGAGCTTGTCCACACAAACTGACAAACATGAGAGCCAGCAAGGTACCACTGATCATGTCACTCCTCTGAGACCAGTCCTGCCTTTCATACTGGGGGACTCCTACCACCAGAACTGTGGATAAGATGTGAAATTCACAGGCCCTCCAGGGCGATGGATCATCGCAACCATGGGAATCGCTGGGCATTGGGGAAGCCAAGAGGGATGCACCACATCTCCTGAAAAAGGAATTTTACAAGTGTTATGCTTAAGCTCCATCTTTTTCCATTGGTTCACCTTTTCCTCCAGAGGAAGTCAGAACCATAATCTATTCCTGAATACCTTACCATACTTGTACCTTCTACCTCAGCATCTGCAATAGTCAATAACTGTAATCAATAAAATAAGAGGATATAATATTTGTATAATAATGAGACTTACGTCTGTGAGCAAAGAACAATTCAAAAATAATGTTGGAAGTAAATTCTGTTTATACTAGTATAATAAACATAATACTTAGAAATGAATGTTTGAAAAATGTAACCAAGAACAAGGACAACTATGGGACACAGCTAGTCTAGGAAGCACCCATTTTTACCTGATCCTTATGTCCTTGCCTCTCAGGAACGTACTTTTAACTTTTACAGAAAGAAAGAATTATTCTTCCTTCATATTTTATAGGTGCTGCAATGTTGCAGTCTATACATCCAAATGTGCCTCACGATCTCCATTTTCATGAGGAATAGCTAAGGTCCACTAAAAGAGGGATGGAAAACCCTTACACTGGAGGACTGAATATCAGGCATGAAAATTTCCTACACAATCCTTCCCAGTCATGATGTGGGGAAAGGATCATCAACAATCACAACAAATCATTCAGAGACAAGCTTAGGATGTCTGATATGAGGGAGGGAGGCAAAAGATTTATTCCACAGTGTAATGGATACAGTCTGGGAAGACAAGTCTGAGGACCCCTAGATATGTGGCCTAGACTAGCTGACAGGAACTTCTAGGTTCAGAGAAGAGGTAGAAAATCAAAACAAAATAGGATATGCAAAACAGAAAAGTAAAAACAGACTGGTTTGGAGCAAGTAATCAAGCTTCACATGAACATGGACCTGCCCTGAACACTACCTCCTCCCACATTCATTCTGATCTACCTAGAAAACTATTTTTTTTAAGAGTCTTGGAGGAGGAGTAACATTTTCTAAAACACCCCTGGGGGGAAACTTTTCACTACTCCCCTGAAGCAATTAATAAAAGAAAGGCAAGTACATTACAGCAAATGCTCACAGACAGTGCCCAAGCTCTGAGTTCAAGCCACAGGACCAACAACAAAATGAGGGATATTCTTTATAAGGAAAGACAAATTTCAGACACAAATAACCAAACACTCCTTAAAATTTCATAGATGGAATTTGGGAGTTTCTGGGAAAGTAATGAGTAGAATTTGACAACTCAATTTAATTCAAACATTATAAAGTATATCTGTCTTTAAATTCTGTTATTTTATTCCAATATATATATTAGAACAGGGGAAGATGATGCCAGAATCAATCATTTTACTGTCTGCAAGAACTTTTTTTTTTTTTTGGTCGATCTTGTGGCTTGAAACCAGCCTGAGCACTGTCCCTTCGTTTTTCAGCTCAAAGTGAGCTCTCTACCACTTGAGCCACAAGGCCACTTCCATTGTTTTGGTAGTTACATGGAGATAGGACTTATGAACTTTCCTGCCCAGGCTGGCTTTTAACAGGGATCCTCATATCTCAGCTTCCTTAGTACCTAGGATTACAGACATGAGCCATTGGCACCTAGCTGCAAATACCTTTGTAAAGTGAGGGGGGAGATATTCAAAACTTTAAGGAAAAACAGAGACATAATTTACATTCAGCAGAACGTACTTTTTGAACAGAAACAAAAAAAAACTTCGTATTTCATAAACTTAATTATATTAAAATAACTAAGAATTAAAGAGCCAAATTATGCAATGCTCCTAATACATTTGTGTTTTTCAATGGTCTCACAATATTTACGTTGGTAAACTGAATTTTCAAGAAACTTACCTAAGTTTCCCCAGCTGGGAGAGAAAGGTCCCCATGCATCCTTGCACACTTAGGACCAAGTGCCTTGTGCCAGTCAAAACCTTGTAACAAGCCCACTTCCTCTAGGTGAATGGTGCATGCATTCTGGGAATTGTAGTTTCTATCTTGGCATAGACCTTTGCAAGTGTGGGGGGGGGGTCGCAGGGGGTAAATCAGGAGAGGTGGGGGTGAGGGGAAGAGGCACCAGTGCCTCTTTGCCCACTGTTCGTGTTTTTAGTTTGCAAATTTGGGTTACTTTGCTTTTCCCTTGCTGCTGGAAGTGCTCTGAAGTACCGCTTTGCACTCCATAGTCAGAGTCAAGAGGTAGAAGCCCAGCTTCTGTTTTTCAGGGGAACTTGGGACCTGTAACTGGAAGCAATCTGAGCCAGAGTCTACCCTTCCCATCTTTCCCCATTCTGGGGTGGATGATATTTTATGGGCTCATAGGTTTGTGCTGCCATTAGCACTTGTTCCTCCAGGTGCCAGAAAGTGGCTACAAACCTCTGTTCTACTTGACAAGGACAGTCAGGAGTTGTGCGTTTATACTTCTGAACCTAGAGATTCTGGTACTCACCCATGTGACTTTATGAGCTTCCATTTTGTGCATTGTAGCCAGTGAATGGTAAACATTCCTTGAAAATGTCTTATATAAACATATTGATCCTCTTTTCATCCTCTGCACTTGCAATGACTTTAGAAACTTTCAAAATGCTGCTGGCACAGATATACTCCAATTGATGTGTCTGTTTTGACAAATTACAATTTCTCCACTAATTTAATTAGCCTATTTTACATCACTTAAAATGAGAGAGACTGGCTGGGAAGGTGGTTCAGTGGTAGAATGCTTGCCTTGCATGAATGAAGCCCTGTGTTTGATTCCTCAGAACCACATAAGCAGAAAAGGCCAGCAGTGCACTGTGGCTCAAGTAGTAGAGTGCTAGCTTTGAGCTTAAGGTCAGAGGGACAGTGCCCAGGGTCAGAGTTCAGACCCCACACGGACAAAAAAAATGAAAGAGATTTCCTACACATGTATACCAAAAACAATTGTTAAAATATAATTTGAATACAATACAATGCCCTTGATATGTGTCTGCCTGTCCTGATTCTTGAACTCAAGGTCTGGAAACTGACCTCGAAATTATTTGGTTCAATGATAATATTCTACCACTTAAGCCACATTCCCACTTCCCACTACTTTGGTAGTTTATTGGAAATAAGTCTCTCAGACTTTCCTATCCCCCTGGCTTCAATCTGTGATCCTTGTAGGGTTTTTTCATGTCCATCCCAGGGGACCACAAGCAGGCACAGGAAAAAGATTATTATAAGGTTTATTAGAAGGCCCATATTTCCCAGGAGAAGGAGCACAAGCATTTGTCCCTCTTCTGGTTGCAACAGGATCTGGGGGGCAGGAAGTGAGTTAAGTACATGCTCAGGTGAGTCTGAGATGAGAGAGGGAGTGGCCAGCTGTGTGGAGGGAACTCTAGGTCTGGGAGGAGCTCAGGTCTGGGTGGAGCTGAGGACTAAAAGTGAGGATAATACTAACTTTCCTCAGATCTCAGCCTTCTGAATACCTAAGTTTACAGCTATTAGACATGATAGCCCAGTTACAATGCTCTTTTTAAAATTCAGATTATATTCTAATGAAATAATATGAAATAGAAAATTTGAAAGTTTTAAGGCACAATGTTCAGTCACTAAGGTGTATGAGGACAGTCCAAATCCCAAAACACACAGAAAATGCCCCCACCTTGAAATCTGTAACACTCCTGATCTTAAGTACTGTGAATGTGAACACTTAGCCTATACTAAATTCTTTTAAGTTTTTCAAAGTAAGAAAACATTCTTGTGACAGAAAAACCCAGTAGTAATGAGCAAGTATTGCTTTTAAAGGATTCATAGTGTCTTTCTGAGCAAAAACAACCTCAATGATGTATACAGAATAGATTTTCACTTTTTGTATATGTCACTGTAAAGGTCATGTATTTTATATTAACAATTACCTTTCTAAGTAATTGTAAAAACTACATCACTACTCGATAACAGAATATCCTGTGTAATCAACCAATAAGTACAAGCAAAAGCACATAGGGATAAAATTTGTTGGTTTTATTTTTGATGGATCTATATTTTGGGGTGTATTTTCTGTTAAGATTGTGTAGTAACACATAAGACTTCAATCTACTGGTGCCTTGGCTGGGGATGGTTGACTGGGATTTTGTCACTCCTCTGACCAGCATTTTATCTTGCATCTTTATTAGGCCCTGTATCTCCAGCAGAATGGACATGATTCTTAATATGACTACTTAGGAAAGTGAGGGACTTCTCAGTCTGTGTTTATATCATCATTCCTGATGTACCTTTGGCCAAAGCAGGTTCAAACTCAAATTGCAAGTCATTGTACAAGGTATGCTAATTATTTGCATAAAGGGTAATGTGCCATATGACAACCATTACTGAAATATTATAAAACAAAAATATGTGTTGTATATATTTTATCTCTATAACTTTGTGTGAAAATACTGTTCATAACATACATGTGTTTGAATATGTAAATAAATGAGGTAGAGTACAAATAATCAATGGAGTTCTAAGATATCTTTACATTAATAGAAAAATAGTTTATATATCCCTAGGTGTATTTCACTGATAATTACTTTTAGTGAACAAGTGACATGTTTTCCTTTTTTGGGTTCAATTTTTCAACAATCTTTTGTAGGAGCTTTAGATTTTTTTTTCTGTTCTTTTTTTGGGGGAGGGTCTGGTCTTGGGGCCTGAACTCTGGGCCTGGGCCCTGTACCTTAGCTCTTCAGCTCAAGGCTAGCACTCTACTACTTGAGCCACAGTGCCACTTGCAGCTTTTTTCTTTTTTCTTATGTGGTGCTGAGGAATCGAACCCAGGGCCTCAGTCATGCAAGGCAAGTGCTCTACCACTGAGCCACCTTCCGAGCCCCCGTGCATATGTCTTTAGTGGACACTTTAATGCTCTTCTTAAGACAGGAATGATTCTTCTCCCATAGGAAGGCTCTTCCAGCCCACATATCATGTTTTGTACAGGAACATCTAGGGTAAAATCACACAGGTTCTTTTCTGACTCCCTTATTTGCCTTCGCTCCAAGCCATGGTTCCAGAATCTTTATTCATTGTCAACAGCAAGAAAG